GTTCTTTAATTTCTCTCCTGAATTATTATGTACCATGTCTTCTATAATACGCAGATTCAACAAGGATGAAAGACATTATAAAGGCAAACGCCCTCGCTCCAAAGAAAACGAGTCTTCTATCCCACCGCAAACTAAAGCTCAGAAGGTTGAAGCTGTCTAAGGATTTATTAGAAACTGACATGTTGATTGTTTAGGGCCATGTTAATTAGAAGAATGTAATTTCCAACAATGTCGGTACAAATTTTGTAACAGACCAACTCTTTTACCTATAATATTTCAATGAGCTCAATATCTTTTATAATTGTGAAAATGGAAATGTGTTTACTGCATTTGTTTATGTCCATTCTCCCTTATTATCTAAATCAGGATAAATGGTTTTCTCATATGCTCTCCTACTATCTCAACTCTAAATTAGAACAAAATTATTCAACTTGTGCTATCTTGGATTATTATTATTCCATGTATGTATATATATAGTATGGTTGACAATATTTAACGTTTTAATTTCACTTTATTGATGAGTAACAAAAAGCAAAAACAAAAAAGGAAAGGGAGGCAAAAATTGATATAACTCTTCTTTATAAATATAAAAATATTTTAGTATAGATTATTATTAACAAATCCGCTGTAGCACATTGGTAAATTTCTGGTTAAATTGAAATCCAGGTTCGAATCCTGGCAGCGGAAAATTACTTTTTTATTATTTATTTTTTTGCATAATGAGAGTTGCTAAGTATGAAAAAGAAAAAGAAAAAAAAAGATGAGATGACCAAAAAAAAGAAAAAAAGAAAAAGAAAAAAAAATGAGAGTTGCATATTCGACAACCCAATCGGCAATGGGACATAACAGCCAATTTTTTTATTTTTTTTAATTTTACGAATCTGAAGCCCATGACTGTTGGATCTCTTCTTCTTCTTTTTTTTTTTTTTCACTTTTTTTTCTTGATCTTATTTATACAACACCTGATTTCTATTTAGTCATAAGCTTATACACAGCAAGCTATATCTTAAACCAATTTTCCGTCCAGAGCAATCACAGCAAGCAATTGAAATATAATAGAGAATTATGAAAGATGCATCAGTATCACACTGTTTAAAACCATTCATCCATATTCCATATTTCTAAGTACAATGAAAACAGCAAAGGATGTTCCTCATCAACCTAAAGACAGCTTTAGAGTATGCCATGGGCTGCTCCAAATACATGGAGAAACAGGGTCTAAACTGAAACATACATGGCCTTCTGTTTTGTCAGCAATAATACTCCCACAACACATTCCGTAAGAACCAGCTAAGGTGCTGCTTGCATGTTTAATCTTGAAAAATAAAGAATGATACGATTTCCAGCAGACTATATAGCAGCAGCATCCGTCGCTCGTTGATTGCAGTCTGATAAAATACACTGTTGTTTATATGCAAAGGCTACTTTATACAAGAGAAACATTCTTCTATGCCATGCTTCATGTGCCAAATTCAAGCATAACATTAAATGTCTATTTAGCAAAATTTGCGCCGGAACTGAAATTAGCCAATATCCTATACAACAATCTGAGGATGCCTACCCAGGAAAGTAGCACAGAAACACGAATTCCTCACCCTTCTACCATAATGACTGGACTCCAACATAGCACAGCTATGTTACCATGCTGCAACATCCCAAACTAACATGAAGCCTTTTGGTACTACTCAACATAAAATGAGAAGGGTTTTACTCACCTTGGAAACAAATATCCAACTAAAGTTTCTAATTTTCAAACCTTCAAACTTGACCTTGCCAAAATTGTTGCCCTACATAGAGAAAGATCTGTCATGAATGTTTGTTATTTTGGCTTCCAGGTTAACTATTTACAGCCCTAGTTTGATCAAAAGTCCTTTTTATTTAAGTTAATGAGACTCTACACAGCTTATAAACATTCAAGGCTGTTATACCGACTCTATGTCTCTATCACAAATGTTACTTGGATCAGGGCAACGCAGAGTTCCATTGAATCAAATGACCAGTTCAATAACAATGCCTACATTATACTATACAAAAACATAACTGCGAAAATTTCGACTATACTAAAAATTTAGAATTCTACACAAAAGCTATAACAATGAGGCCTTGTTGGAGCACACTATCTATCACCATTACAAGTTACATAAATTACAGTAGTACAACACTCCATTTCAAGTTCATTTGTGTTCCTATTATCACTAAAATCATACTTACTCATCACAAAGCGATGTCATTAGATCACGCGGAGATGCCCAAATTGGAAGATCAAAATAAGATTGCTTTAATCGTTCCTCTTGTGCATTACACATCGTTTCTGCTATGTCACACAAATTTGAAACATCTCGAATTATAATTTCTTGAGATTCAGCCTGCAGATGTTGAAATAAAAACTCATAATTAGGATAAAACCCAGCAGTAATATACATTTCATGACTTAATAAAACTCACTAACCAGCAAAATATTACTAAAAGGTAATAAAATTAATTCACTTGTTGGCCTTTAAGTTCCTATAGTAATTTTAAAAGAAATAAATTTGAAATAAAAAAAAAAAAGGATTCCATATATTACCTGCAAAAGGAGCTCATCAACCAAAGAGCCAGAAGCATTCTCCTTGTTACCCTTATCTTTGTTCTCGGGCCCTGAAGACGACGACGTTCTCTCCCTGTCTTCTGCCTCCCTTAGTTTCCTTCTTTCTTGCTGTTGAATTTGAAACCCTAAAGCCTTCTCTTGCATTGCCTTCAGAGTGTTGGACAAACGCTCCCACTCCTCGATCTCTTTCTTATACTTCTCCTTTAATCTAAGAAGACAATTCCTCTTCCACTCACTCCTTCGTTTGTCCTCTTCCTCGGGATCCACCTGCAACGGAGCTGATTCACTGATAACGCGGTGGCGCTTCTGGCGTTTGTAGATGAAACCGTCGTCGTTACATAGTTCCCACTCGTCGGCGTCGGTGGCGGTGGCCGTCTGAGAAGAAGAAGGTAGGTCCATTCCCGGAGCGTTTGGGAAATTTTGAATGAAGGTGATTTTGGAGGTTTAAAAATTGGATCTTTTTGAGAGAGACGATACAGAGCGTATTGTGTACGTTTCGACTGATTTGAGTTGTCTTTGGGCCATTCAGATATTGTTTTAAATTAATGGTCCGACTAAGAAAATTGGGCCTTAAGGTTACCAAATGCCCATTAAAAGAATAAAGTCAAGTTTTTAATATTAGATGCAGTAGCCTAGCAACTAATCCGCTGTAGCACAATGGTTAAATTTCAATAGTGAAACTGAAATTCCAGGTTCAAATCCTGGCAGCGGAAACAAAATTTTTTTTTGTCTAATTTTTCTTTGTTCTGGTCTATAAGACCTATTTTTGTATCTTTAAATTAATAATGTTTTTTGTCCAATTTCCTAAAGCAACTTGCTTAGTCATTAAAGAATAAGATTGTTTGTGGTCATCTCTCTCCATTTTTAATTATTCATCTAGTTTAAGCAATTCTCTTGTTTGGAGTCTGAAACACGATTAGATTATGTATTAGTCAAAACATGATGTAAATAATGGATATGAGAGACTTGTATCGAAAAAGAAAGGCATAATATCTAAATGGGGGCTAAATCTTTTCAAATTTTCTCAATTTGAGACTAAACCTTTAAACAGAATCAAATTGAGGCTAAACGTTAGCAAATTGCACCAAATTGGGTCTATTTTGGAAGGAGTTGTGGCAGTGAAATGCACGCGCCGTTACTACAATTCCAAATTTCCATCCAAAATAGACCCAATTTGGTGTAATTTGCTAACATTTAGGCTCAATTTAGTCATGTTTAAAGGTTTAGCCTCAAATTGACTAAGTTTGGAAAGGTTTGGACCCAATTTGGACATTAGGCCAAAAAGAAAAATACATTCACGATCATTATCACCTTTAGTAATTAGCAAATGTCCTCAACATGAATAATAATATATTAATAGGAAAATTATTCAATACAAGGGTGGCATGTGTCCCCTATGAACTAGATTGAAATATTTAAAATTTAAATAATTCAAAAAATGGACATGTATCAACTACTCACCCTGTTTGTGGAATCCAAATTTTACACTGATAGTGTATCAAATAATTACCCATATTAATATTGTAAAACTAATAAGTTGTATTTATAGTACTGTTTTTAAGCCAACATAAAGTTATATCAATGTCAACGCTCACAACTCTTTGTAGCTAACTTTGATTAGGTCAATATATGTCAACAAGCTTATCACATTCATGGAATAGTGTATACTACAGATCAATTTATGTTAGGAACTCCTCCCATTCTTTTCCTACTAAATCTCCTAATAAACCACCATACTCTTGTTAAAAAGTAACTACTTTTAGTGTATACTACAGATCAATTTATGTTAGGAACTCCTCCCATTCTTTTCCTACTAAATCTCCTAATAAACCACCATACTCTTGTTAAAAAGTAACTACTTTTAATTGTCTCTGGCTTTTTTTATCTAATTAGAAGATTTTAGATAAAGCTTATAGAGTTTGGATTCGATCTCGATATAACTTGATCTCCTTGCCCTACTTTATGTAATGTAAAAGAAAAAGAAGGAAAAACTAGAAAATTAGAATGGTGGGATAATGTTACATGTGCTACTGCTACCTCAACAAGATAATTGATGACAAATTTTTAAAGAAGATAAACATTTGTGAAAATGGAAATATAAAAATAGTACATCCAAATCCGGAGCATTTGGGAAATTTTGAGTGAATGTTTTTTTGGAGGTTTTGAAAATTGGATCTTTCTTTTTTCCAAAAAAAAAACAAAAAAAAACAAAAACAAAAGGATCTTTTTGAGAGAGTCGGAAACCTGGCAAAAAAAAAAGACAGAGACAGTCGAAAACAGAGCGTATTGTGATTTCAGCTGTCTTTGGGCCTTGCAGAGTTCGGCTTAAGTTAATGGTCCGACTAAGAAAATTGGGCCTTGAGGTAAGCATTATTGGGATTTTAAGGGATAGATGCAGTATCGTATCAACAAATCCGCTGTAGCACAATGGTTAAATTTCAAAGTTGATATATGAAATTCCAGGTTCGAATCCTGGCAGCGGAAAATATATATTTTTTTAATTTTTGCTTTTATAACACCTATTTTTGTATCTTTAAATTAATTAGTTTTTGTCCAATTTCCTTTACCAACTTGCTTCATCATTAAAGAATAAAGATTACTTGTGGCCATTTCTCTCCACTTTTTATTATTGGGTATATATAATATCCCCATCAGTATCGAAAAGGAAAAATGCATTCACGATTATTGTCACCTTTAACTTTAGCAAATCCCCTCTATAGAGATAATAATATATTAATATTGTAAAAGTAAGTTGTATTTATATAGTATTCGGCCAAAAAAGTTGTATATATATATATATATATATATATATATATATATAGTACTATTTTTAATCCAACGCAGAGTTTTATTAATGTCAGCCCTCACAACTCTTTGTCTAAATTATGTTTTCGATTTGGAAGAAAAGCTAGCCTAAACTCCATTAGGGTTAATCTCTTCTTAGAGAGCTAACTTTGATTAGAGGTCAATATATATCAACAAGCTTATCACGTTCATAGAATACTATACAAATCAGGTTTTGTTAGGAACAACTCCTATTCTTAATTCTTCTCCTACTAAATCTCCTAATTACCACCATACTCTTTGTTATAAGTAACTATTTTTAAGTGTCTTGGCTTCTTGGTCTAATAGAAGACTTTAGATGAACCTTGTAGAGTTTGGATTCGATCTTTTGCCCTACTTTATGTAATGTAAAAAAAAAAACAAAAAAAAAAAAAACTAGAAAATTAGAATGGTAGGATAATATTACATGTGCTACCTCAACAAGATAATTGATGATGCATTTTTAAAAGGGAAAGAAAATAAGCAGTTCTGAAAATGGAAATATAAATGAATAATTATTTGATATACTGACAGTGTAAATTTTAGACTTTACAAGTGGGTTGGGGAGTTGACATATGTACATTTTCTGAATTAATTAAGTTTTAATTTTTTCAATCTAGTCCCTAGGGGACACATATCACCCTTCTAGACCCGCATGTATAGTCTGCTAAACTCTACTAACGGTATATTATATATAAATCCAATATAAATATAAATATAAAATATGACATCCAATTTTTTTCTCACTCAACCATGGAAGACTTTTACGAGAAATTTAATGTCAATTTTTTTTCTCTGTTTTTTTCAGGACTCCTTAGTGAGAGTTTTTGGGACTCCTTTGTGAGAGCTTTTTCTATTGTCTTTGTACAAGTTTCCAATCCCCTCTTTTTCATTTCCCTTTGAATCTTGACATTTATTCCTAATTTCTTCAACACATTTTCATAAATGGCTGAAGATCTTAACAATCTTTGGGCTAATTTAATATTGTGAGGAAGAAAATGCTATCCTTGAAGTTAATCCCTCTTTGGTGCAAGAAACTTTAGGGATGTGATCACAGTCTTCTTGGAAGTTTGACTTCAAGAATCAAAACAAGTTTCAAGCATGGGCAATACAGCAGTTTCTTCTTTGTGTGGAGCAAAAAGATGTCAAGGGGGCAAAAAAAAAAACAAAAAAAAATCCTTGAAATTGTCGATTTGGCTAGATTATTTTCTTCTTGTAATTTTAATTAATGTAATTTTAATTAATGGTGTTTGGACATAAGATAGCACATCTAGACTTTTGGTGATAGTGCTAACTATGTTCGGTATGGGGTTCTTTCCTCATGCGTTTTGTCTTTCGAAATCAATATTCAAGTTTAACTTGATGATAATATATACTAGTTAAAGCACGTGCGCTGCACGTATGTTAATAATTGATAGATCATATATTCCACACATGCGTACTTTTCATCTTCATAAATTTTGATTAATTAATCATCAAAATCTGGTCATTTAGTTTACAGAGATTTGAAATAATTAATCTCATTGAACGAACAAAAAAAACTTAAATTATTATACAATTATGGTTATCTTCAATAATGAAGGAAGGTTATTAATTTTCTTATTTGAATTTACTAAAAAAACTACAGGGCTATTAAGAACGAAAGTTAAACATTAATCAATAAAGAAGGTTATCGATTTCTGATGCAAGAACAAAAAAGAATAAGAATAAGATTATCAATTTCCTCATCAAATGTTCATTAAAAAACTATTTGAGTTATCAAAGGTTTATGCATGTTATCAATAAATTCAGTAATTAACCTTATACTGTTAGTAATTTTAGTAGCCTTTTATCAATAATGGAATTTGCCAATGTTCTTCTTTAAGGTTGTTAAAAAAGTTATAAAGGTTATAAAAATTTTTATAGTATAAGGTAATTTTGTAACATAACATCTTTAATAAATTTAGTAGCATTTTATCAATTTAATGAGGAGTATAATTTTCATATCTGAGATTAGTAAAAAAATTGCGAAGATTATAAAAAAAAGAAGCTATAGTCGACCTATCAATAAATTCAATAACCTTATGTTTTTATTACTTTTAATAATTTTCGTCAATTATGAATGTTATTAATCTTGTAATCTAAAATTACTAAAAAAATTATAAAAGGTATTAAAATAGCTATAATTGTCACGCCCCGACCCGGAAGTCGAGCACGGACAAATGTTGTCATTACCATGAGATGATTGCACAAAGGCATAACCATCAAAGCCGATAAGGGTTGGTATGATCATGATGATGATGATGAAGAGAGTGATGACAACAATAACATTTCAATAATGCTCTCTACAAACCTAATTGTGCTCTTGGATGATTTTAGTAACTTTTTATATATATAAAAAAAGTTATGAATGTTCTTACTTAAAACTATTTAAGATTATATCAAAATAACTATAATGTTCGCTATCAAATAAGTTTTGAATGCTACTACTATATTCTAACTTGTACAAAAAAAATCCCATTAAAATCACTTAATCCTAATTAATCCATAATGGGAAGGGAATAATAAATACTTTTAAGGTTGTTTCCTTCCTCTTTTCATCTTATTTTCTTTCTCTTCTAAAACCCTTTTTTGAAGAACTTCTCACCAATATTCATTGATAAGTAGGAAAATTTATTGGTTTAACAATTGAAACTTATCTAAAATTTCAAACTATGAAACTCTTGAAATGGATGGGAATCAGCTTTTTATTTTTAATTGAATGCAGCAAGTATCGTTTTTGGAATATAGAAAGCTCGATTTTTCTTTCTTATTCTATTTTTGGATTTCATATTCTTTTGCAAAATTAATTCGTTTTCACCTCAAATTAAATCTTTTGAAATTTTTTAACATCAATTAAGGCAAAGTTGTAAAGAAACTTACAATATTTTTTCTTGATTTTATGTTACATCTATTGCATTTTATTATTACTTTTATGTTTAATTAGATAACTTTAGTTAG